GGGGGGGGGGGTGTCAGAGCAATTGTTATGGGTTGAGTGATATATTGCTCTTACTAATGACCAGAGGGAGAAGAGATGGGTATAATAAACATGCTCGTCTTCTCCGTGCAATATTTTCCTAACAGGCTTTGCAGCCTCTAATATGTTTTTCTTCCCTTTAATTGTGTCTGATTTTCGGAGACTGCCTGGAAAAGTCCCTGCAGTTTTCTTGGCAAGGTTCTTCAGAAGTGCTTTGCCAGAGCCTCCTTCCTACGGCCGAGGGAAAGTGACTGGCCCAGGGTCACTCAGCTGGCTTTGCGCCCAAGGTGGGACTAGAACTCCCCGGCTCCCGGTTTCTAGTCTGACCCCTTAACTCCGTTAAAGCCCAAAGAAAGACATCAGGATGGCCCTCCTCCTCCTCCTCCTCCCACCGAGGCACCAAATTCAGCACGGTTGCGATGCTACCTTTCCCTGAAGAAACGGCTGGAGAATTTTTCATTCCAGAAAAATTGTCCGCTCAATTTCTTTATGCTTTTTCAATGTCAAAATGCCCTCGCTGTTCACAGTGGGGTGGCTGGCTTGCAAGCAGATAAAAGAGGGGGGGAAACCAACCATGGTGCTCAATGCTCAGCGTCCTGCAACCCTGGCTGAAACTTTCTGGGGGTTCTGTGCATGGGAAGCCCTGGTGAACTGGGCACCAGCATGGGATCAGAATACAAGGCAGCCTCTATTTATTTTCTGACCAGCCAGAGAAAGCTCTGCATGTACAGCCTTGCATGTGCCCGGCAGAGCCGTGCAAGTAATTGCCTCGCCATCCATTCTCCTCCTGCAATTACTTGCTGAGGCCAGCTGACCGTCTCCAGCTTCCCAGCATATCCATGACTTAAGTAACCCTGGGTTGGTCCCTGCTGTCACCCGGGGCCATCAGGATTTTGCATTGATTCTTTTGGGGTTCTTCTCATTTTGCTCATGAGGGATGACTTGCCTGCAGCCCAGATTGTGGGGTGGGGGTTGGCGAGGCTGCTAGAGGGACATAACAAGCTGCATCCAATTTTTTGCATTCAGGTTTGTTTTTTTGTTTTGTTTTTTTCCTTTGCTCCTTTTTGCCACCTGCCATGAGTTCTTTTCTTCCCCTTTCATAGTGCGGACGCAATGCTGAAAACTTCGACCGGTTTTTCACTCGCCATCCACCTGTCTTAACTCCACCTGACCAGGAAGTCATCAGGAACATTGACCAATCAGAATTTGAAGGCTTTACCTTTCTTAACTCTGAGTATTTTAAGCCTGAAGTCAAGAGCTAAGTAGACCATCCTCCCCCCCCCCCCCCCCCCAACCCCAACCCCTTGCACACCCATGGCCATCTCCATTTGGTCCCGGCTGCTGTGTGGTGGCATCCTCTGTTGCAACCATTAGCTGTCTTGCTTTGGATATTTTTACTTTCTTTTGTGGTGATACTGGAATGACCATCCTTCAAGAGACTTGAGCTGCAACCAAGTGTGGTTGCATCCGTGGCATAAGGGAGGAGAAAGAGCACCTGGAGTGTTATGGCTGTGAGTCTAAAGATCAGGTCCTCTTGGAGGTTTAGCAGGAGGCCAGAGTTGGAAAGACCCGCTTCCTTTAAAGTTAGCGAAACGCCTCTGGATCTTGAGCACCTGTTGATGGTGCTCCCCTCTTCTCCTCCGCCCCACTTGGCTTCTTCCCAAGGAGGCAGTCCGCAAAAGGAGTGGACGTGGTCTGGCTTTGCAAAATGGAACTTGGCTCAGCTCCTTTGTCCCTTGCAGAATCGCGAGCTTAGAGGGACGCTGCCTCCTTGTCTTATTGCGACTTTGATGTGAAACCCATCCAGACAGAGACACCTCTCTGTTATTTCCATGGCACCTGCAAAAACCCCGATGACTCAGAACTGGCTGTCAGAAGCCTTTGGGTACCGCCTGCATTTAGTCCCCAAACCTCAGTTAATCCGTGAAGCCTGTCAGTAGATGCTCATACTCCAGGCTGTTTATTATTCTTATTCCCAGGAATCCTAGGGGATTGAGATGGGGGGCTGGGACAGCCTCCAGACCCTTTGAAGGAATCCATGCCAGTTAGATGGGGTGAGGGAGGCAGGAGGAGGCAGCTTCTGTCCCCATGGGGGCCATGTTTGAAGTTACACAGCCCCCCTCCAGGAATTCCACAACACCCACCGTCAGTTGTGTCATTGCCCATTTCTCATGTTCTTCTTAACTATTCCGTTTATTCGCATTAATAAAGTCACACATAAATGAAGTCCTGGAAGTGGATCTGGCCTTCCCAAGGCTAACCGAAAATCATATGCAGAGACAAACGCTGTCTGATCTCACCCAGCAAGGCTGACGACATCGTGGTAGATAGCTGGGAACATTTCCTGGGGGAATCCCTGGATGGTCCCAGCATGGAGGAGAGGGAGTCCCAAGAGTCTCAGATGGAAGAAAAGAGGACGAAAGATACTTCCTGGCTTGTTCAGTTCAGAGAAAAACGGGCACCTGAAAGAATGGAGAAACGCTGCCCATGTTGGACCAAGTGACCTGGCACCGTAGAAGGTGGGATTCAGCTGCAGGGGAGGGAAAGGGAGACCAGGAAGGTCCTCCAGAGCTGGCCAGAAGCCCTGATTTGGTTTTCGGTGCTAGAAGAGAGGAAAATGAGAAGGGTCCCCCTGGGGAGGGGGAATTGACTGCTGGAATTGAGTTTTTATGGAGTTTTTATTGTTCCTTTAGCTCAGGTTGCCCTGCCCTGATAAGCAAAACGTGACCACTTTGTCTCAGGAGGCCCCAGCCTGGCCATCAAAATTCCCATCTTGGAGTCAATGGTCAACCTCGTATCTACCATTCCATGTTAGTTTTTATGTTCAATTCATATCAACCCTGTGTGGCACCTTTGCAACTATTTTGGGGGAGGGGGGGAGGGGGGAAGGGGTGCCATTTGTCCAGCTGCCAAATTAACAAATTCCATATGTCCCACCGTGCTTTATCTGTGTCAAAAAATTAGTATTTTACTAAAATTAAGCTGATATTTAAAATCCAAAAAGTTTGTGTGTAATTTGACTGAAGCTGTAAAATATTTTTGTTCCGGCTAATGTTCTTCATAGAATAAGAAATATTTTCTGTTGGAATTTGAAGTTGTCTATGTTTCTGAGAAAAAGAGAAAGAAAGAAAGAAAGAAAGAAAGAAAGAAAGAAAGAAAGAAAGA